AGGGTTTCTGAGGCTGTAAATCTTTACGGGAGCAGAAAGCCTCATCTTTCTCCTGCAGAGCAGCTGGTAGTTTTGAACTGCTGACCTTGCAGTTCACAGACCGATTCATAATCACTATGCTACCAGAGCTCCTTTTCCCAACAGTTAGCCCCATCTAAATTCCACCCTCTGGCAAGGCCTCTCAAAAGGCCTTATCCTCCATGCATCCAGCCCATTGAAAGCTCCACCTCTCCCAAACCTGTCCTAGCTACTTACCCAGGCTCCCTGTCACTTTTCTCCGTCTCTCTTTCTCTCTCCAGCAGACTGTGAGAGATGGCAGATTCAGTCCAAGAGGTTTGTGAGGTTCTGACTGGGGCACACTCCAGCAAACTCTCAAAACTCCTGACCCTAGGATCTCTTTCTCCGACTGCTCATATATGAGTAGCCCACTTTTCTCCTCTCTCTTCTCTCTTTCTCTCTCTCCCTCTGCAACTGACTACAAGGGATCACAGACCCTTTCAGGCCAGGGCACCCCTGGTGGCTCTCAAAACTCTTGTAAAGTTCTTTTGCCCAAGCACTCACTTCCAAGTAGTCTGTCTTTTCTTTGACAGGGTTCCAGATCTCAGAGGCCATTCTGCCAGATCTCTCCTCATTCAACACCGGTCACAAATTCCTGGGTCTAGATAAGTTAGCCCCCTGCACTCTCTCCTGAGGATCCCAGGAGATTCTGCCTCATGCCCTGATCCTCAGAGGATCACTTGGACTCCCCTGGCAGAGAGTGAGGGGAAGCCATAACCCTCTCCAGGCCATCTGGTCCGACAGTCGGACCTCCAGCAGTCTCTCTTCTCACCTGTGAAGAGAGTCTCACCTTTGGCAGTGACTCCTTGACCCACCCAAAATGGGAGTTGGGGCTTTGCAAACCACCCCTCCCCTCTAGGCTGTCTTCTGAATAACCTAAAGAAATAACCTAATAGAAATCAGTTGGAAAAATAATTAATTGATTTTTGCAATATACCCTGGTTGCAATTAGTCAGTGGCCAGGAAACGGCAATTTTGACTTTCAAATTTTAAGAGACATTGACAACTTATAAAAAGAAATGGCAAAATGGCAGGTTCCCCACTTTCAAGCCTTTCTCTCCCTTCCCTCCTCAGTCCCCCACCCTCCTCTACCCCAACCCCCTTTATCCCCAGATTCCACAAATGAGAATAAGCTCCGGGCCCAGTACCAAGGTCAAAATGATCCCTAATGCTTTTTCATCTCAGAGACGCTGCCAGCTATGAGGGTCCCACCCGTATCCATGTCCTCTCTTCCCTCTCTGATCTCTCTCAAATTGAGAATAGGCTAGGATCTTTCAGCAAAAACCCAGCAAAGTTTAGAAAATAATTTCTCCATCTTTCACAGACTTTCTCCCTGACCTAGCGGGATGTCTATACCATCCTCAGTAGCAAATAACTCAAGGTTCAGAAGAAAACCCCACCCTTTTCTTCTCCTGCTTAACTGAAACAATGACTAAATATACCAAACTTGACCATGAGTCACCAGAAGAGAGAACTTACCTCCATCCCCAATCAGCATCAGATATTAGAAAGAAATTACAAAGATTAGAACGAGGGCCCCAAACCCCTCAGGGAGAGCTCCTTGACACTGCCTTTAAAGTCTTCAATAAAAGGGAGGAAGACACAAGGGCAGAGAAAGAAAGGTACCTCCAGCGAAAAATTCATCTACAGATGCTGGCCTCCACCCATAACCCTATCATGGGACACAAGGCTGTCAACCCCTCAGGAAAGTGTTTCCGGTGTGGAAATGAAGGCCACTGGGCAAAAGCATGCCCTAACCCTAAGCCTCTTACAAAGCCGTGTCCAACCTGTGGACAATGAGGACATTGGAAGATGGACTGTCCCACACAGAGGCCTCCTCTCAGAGCGGGAGTCTCTCCCCAAAACCCTGAAAATGGCCTGGTGTCCCTCCTGCCACTAACCGAGCAATGCTGTGGCCGGAATCTCACAGCCTCCCATGTCCCCCTGAGTTCCAGGTAAAAGGGAGTGTCGCTGGAAAGACAGTCTCTTTCCTACTTGACCCGGGGGCCAGCCTATGTGTTCTAACTGAATTTGCTAGGCTGCTTTTTCTTTCACCGACTACAGTAATAGGTATGAAAGGACTCCCAGAAACCCCCCTCCAAACACCCCCAGTGCCCTTCTTCCTGGACTGCTTCTGCCTCCAGAGGACCCTGGCCTCCATTCTGGATATGTGGGGGAACAGAGAGGAAGGAATCTCCAGATAAGAAATGACCATTATTCTGAGCCATGACCTTCCCTGGCCCTGGCGCAAACATGGTCCTCCTCCAGCAGAGGGCGCCAGCACTGGCAAGAGAGGCCACAATCAGGAAGCGCTCCTGTCCCTTCATGTCTCCTCTCTGACCACCTACAGCCAACAAGGCATCAGGAGCAGGAGAGAGGTCCAAGCTGTGGAAATTGAAGATGAGAGGTTGGACCCACCCACAGCCCCTTTCTGGCTGGACCTGGGTTAGGAGAAGCTCTAAACGGGATGAGAGACTGAACTTAGAAATTGGATCAGAAGGACTTTTCATCAGTAAATGAGATGGACTTCCTTCTGCTCAGATGTGGCCTTCATTGAGATGAGGGCCGGATGTACTGGTCATAGAGAGCAGGATGAGAAGAAGAGGGCAACGTTCTGCTTTCCCCTGTCCATTCCGGTCACTGGGATCCTCACTTAACGTGGTCTTTTGAATCATGTGCTCAGCTTTCTGTCTCCCAAACATACAGTGAGTGTTTGAGAGGAGGGACTGAGTTTGTTTCAAACCTGGTGAGGGAGGAGGAAGGGAGGAAGTCGTTGAACCCAGCTAATATTCCTTGGAGCGTTCCAAGCTCGTGTCTCAGACCCCAGGTAGGAAACTCCTACACCCTCAGCAGCAGATCGCACCCTCTGCCGTCAGCCCAAAAGGCAGCTACAGCTGTCTAGTCCCAATTTCATCACCTGGACTACCCCCTAGGAAAGCTTCACCCAGTGACTCTCTTGGCCACATCCACAAAAAAGACACTCAGCCAGGAACATGCTGCTCAGATGCTTTATTAGGACATGGGGAGTGGGAGGAGGCTGTGGTCCAGGGAGGCTTCCCCAGCCCAGCCTCATCTCTGGGAGGTCACTAATGTCTTCAGGGTGTCATCCCTGATGCCCCTTTCAGATGTTAAGGATGGGACCGGACTCAAAGGAGGGTATGATCACTGGGAGGATCTCAGAACAGAGGACAGAGGAAGACATGGGGGTCCCCAAAAATCCTGGAGTGTCTGCCTCTGTCAGCAGCATCCTTGTCCCTGCCCGGGACTCAAGGAGATGGAGAAACATGGTTGTGAATCCATTTGTCATAGTATGGCACTCGGGCATAGATTCCAGGAAAGCCTGGATTGCCACAGCCCTCACCCCAACTCACCACCCCTACCTGGAGCCAGGTGCCCCCCAGCTTACAGACCAAGGGGCCCCCAGAATCTCCCTGTGGAAGGAAAGAACAGGTGGTGAGCCTCATACTCCCTGAGAGTTTGGAGCAAGGGCAGCAATCGGGAGACAGATATCTGGATGTGAGGGTCTCACCTGGCAGGAGTCCCGGCCTGAGCTCCCAGCACACAGCATGTCCTTCAGGATGACCTTTTTGACCTTCCTATATTGCTGTCTGCAGACCTCATCATCCACGATGGGCACCTCGACCTCCCGCAGGTTGTATGGTGCTGGCAGTTGGACTGTGGAGAGAAGGTGAGTGAGCCTGGGGGACACGATGAAGGGACTGTGCCCCTCCCCCATCACCCTGGTCCATCAATGACCATGGTAGTGTCTCCACAGATGTCCAGTGCAGAAGCTAACCCTGTAACTGGGAGAACCACATGCCAGATTCTGGAAGCGCATGCCAAGCCTCCGTTTCCCCAGATATGCCCTGGGGAACACATGGCCCCTCGCATGGTTTCCTTGTGCTGACAGGCTGGTACGCTCTAGTGGGCACCAGGCTCAGGAGAGACTCTGGGGTGGGACTTTCCTAAACACCCCCCCCCCCACTAGAATGTTACTGGGAAAATCAAAACAAGTGGTTCCCCTAAAAATGCAGACTCAGGGCCCTGGATCAGAGTGGACGTGGGCCATTTCCCTCAGTCCCTACTGGCCTCATTTCCCATCCTCCCCCTCAAGATGCAGGGAGCACTGGGGACAGGAATGGCTGTGCAGGGACTGAGGGAGAGGAAGGGCAGAGATTGCCTCCCACCTCATCTGGTCATTGCCTGAAACGTACCCTCTTGAGATGACCAAGTCCAATCCCCACCCACATCCATCCCCAGAGGGTCCCAGGGAGACTGAGGCCCTCCCTATTGATAATACTGTGACGATACCCACTGTATCCTCACCCCCTTCCAACCCTCCCCATGCCATCGGGACCCAGTTATCCTGACTCTTACCCTTTGGTTTGATGTTACCCCATCCAGTCACCCAGCACTTCATGCCTGCAGGGACTGTGAGCTTCTCATGAGCAAGGGTGACCAGACTGACGCCCTGAGACAGTCTCACGGGGGCCCCCAGCTTGACAAGGGCCACATCTGCCCCACCTTCACCTTTCAGCACAGGGTTGTAGTTGGGGTGGGAGATGATCTCAGTCACCTCCTGAAAAAGGTCATTCTGCCACTTGGGCTTCACTTGCCCTACTTGGACCCTAAAAGAACGAGGCTCTAATCTTTTCCTAGGGGGATGAGAAGACCAAAAGTGTCAGAACTGAGGCAGAAGCTACATCAGCACAGTAGCAGGAGGTGGGTCAGCCTCTCAAAGTCCAGAGCATCCCGTCTGGGGCAGGGAGAGACCCCAGGTTACTGAATCCCCTTGGACCCAGGACTGCAGCCACCCCACCCAGGAAACCCCACAACACGCACGGCACTGTTTACAATGTAGTCGCCCAACCATGTGTCGAGGGTCACTCACCCTTGAACGCAGTGAGCTGCAGTCAGCACCCACTCACGGCGGATGAGAGAACCCCCACATATGAATGCCCAGCCATTGTCTCCTGGGACGTAGACCCACAGGCTGACCTGCCATGGCCACTTGCCAGGCAGGGCATCATGGCCCCCCACAATGCCCTCAAGCTCTGTCTCTGGGCTGGGAGCTGAGGAGGCAGAGCAAGGGGTCATGTGGCAATCCTTCCCAGAACTCAGCTCAGCCTCCCTGCTCTGCACCTACCCCGCAAGATCAGGAGTGAGCCTGGCCATCCTCAGAGGGGTCTCCACACCACCCCAGGGCTGCTCCCCAGATTCCAGATAGAGGCTTAGGGATTGGGCAGGCATTGGAGGGGATTAAGACACACCTGGGGTCATGGGCATGGTGGCCCCCAGGAAGGGGAGGGTCAGCAACAGCACCCACAGCATCTGCAGCAGGAGGGGAGGACCTGGGTGAGGAGATGGGGACAGGACCCCTGGGTCTGGGATAGAGAGGGTAGGGTGTGAACAGGCTGCATCCTCACCTCCAAGGGCTCTGAGCTCTCTGCCCCGGACACTGTCTGAGCTCCTTTATTGTCACTACCCAGGAAGTGGTTAGGGGCAGGAAGCCTTATCTGGGTAGGACACTGGCTTCTTCTTCAGTGGGACCAAGGGTGGCTGATGGGAGATTTGTCCCACAGCAAACATGGGGTGTCTTCTCTAGCTGAACAAAGAGCTGGGTGCTAGGTGGAGCCGATGAACAACACATGTAGACAAATAAAAATAAATCAATAAATAAGATGCTATGAAGACAGAATTGTGTGGCACTGTGGGTTCAGCACTGGACTGCAAACCACAAGGCCAGCAGTCCAAGCCCACCAGCTACCCCTCAGAAACCCCACACAAGGTCATCATGAGTTGGAACCAACTCAATAGCACATAACAACAACAACAATGAAAACAGAAACACAGAGCTAGGGATAAAAGCAGGGGCATTGGAGGCCAGATTTGCGTGGTATGGGGGTCAGACTATGGAATGCCAGTCTCAGGCTTGCTGGAGGACTCAGCCCCATTCTAATAAAGGACAGACACATTGGGCCCAAAGCCAAGAGCCTAAAGTAGTCAACCCTGCTCTCTCCTCACAGACCAGACACAGTTTCTCCTCCCTCTAGCCCCAGATGTACCAGAGGCTAGAAAGGAAGAGACCCAATACGGACAATGTGTGTCTCAGAACCCTGCAGTGTCTGTCAATCCCTACATCAGAACAGCCACCCCCCAACAATGCAGGCAGTGGGCACCCAGGACGGGGACCTGAACTCTGTCACCAGGCCCAAGTAGGTGGACGTGGTGGGCTTCCTCCATCCCAAGCCCTGCTTGTCTGCAGGAAGCCCCTGTTCTCCCTCCCAGACCAGCCCTAGCAGAGCCAGCTCACCAAATGGGTCAGTGGGGGTCCTAGGACCTGAATGACAGGAGATGGGCTACACAGGGGTCAGCCAGGAGTCACAGACCCAGAGCTGGACATAATAGCAAGCCCATTCTTCCTGTTTGGTGACCCCAGTCAAGAAGATACCCAATCTGGTCACACAGGAAGGAGATATGGTTGATGACAGATGATCCATCCTGAGACAAGTGTGGGAAACCCGAGTTGCAGCACCGAGGTTCGTGTCTGGGAAGAAATCCCCCATCACCGTGCTTATCCTCGCTGTTCCTGGAGGACTCAGTCCATGGCCCCATGGGAAGCCACCAAGGACAGAGACATCATGAGCACGGTCTATCAGAAACAGAAACACGAGGTTTCAGGGTTTGGGATGAGCAACGTAAGTGCCACTTGCAGATAACAAGACTTTCTTACAAGAAAAGCCAAAATCATCAGCTCACAGGTTTGGAAATTACATGCCCAAATTGTCTAGGTGGAATAGAAATGCTTTAAACATATGGCAGAAGACTAAGAACTCTGAACTCTTGTATACCACCAGCTAATGAGTGCACAACTTGTAACTTTCATATACCATCAACTAATGAGTGTACAACTCATAACTCTTGTATACCACCAACTAATGAGTGCACATAGCAGTAAAGATGCAATTCAAAGTAACCATACGCTTAATTTATACCATGTGTATATATGTGTGTGTATATATATATGTGTGTGTGTGTGTATATATAATATCTATGGGATATGGAAGACTCTGTATGAACAGCCACAAAAGTCTAAAGAAATGACACCATGAAATAAAATGTCATTCAAGACTCCTGAACTGAGATGCTGCCATCAAATATTAATTCTTCAAATTCCAAATATAATCAGAGTTCTGTACATATCTGATCATTTTCATGAACATTTCAAATCATTCCCAACTTTATGTGGAAGGTGACAGAGGTGCTCAGAAAACACACAACAGAGGTTGAGCGTTGGGACAAGTTACACTGCTGGTATCGGCAGTGAGCGTGTACCACTGAGGCAGACCCATTGCAGAGTGACCTGTACAGGGTTTCAGAGCCTGTAAATCTTGACAGGAGCAGAAAACTCATCTTTCTCTTCTAGAGTTGCTGGTGGGTCGCAGACCAGTGCTTACCCTAAACTGTACACTGAAATTTGGTCTGCATATCAAAAAAATTGTTATATACATTTTACTGCAATTAAAAAATTTTTGAGTTACAGGCTTGCAGGGTATACCACTTGGTTGGTTGATGATGCATGGAGGGGATTGTAACCATGGCAATGAAACAATATATGATAGAATGAATGTAAAACTGATGTTCTCCCATGTAAACTATCATATAATTCACAATAAAACATTTAAATTTTTTTTTGAGTTATAAAAATGGAAACTCGGTGGCTGCAGTACTAACTCCCACCAAGCTACTTTTTTTTTCAGGGTAAGCAGAGATGGGGAAGATGCTGAAGGATTGTAGACTTCTGTTTTAAGTGATTGTTGATTGGGTTAATTGTCAAAACTTGGAACACTAGCGAGGATATAAAACGAGCCTTCTCAGAAGCAGGATGGGAGAATCTCTCTACCAGCCAGGAAGAAGAGTCAGGAGAGGTGAGTATACCCTTTGGACCAGAGATCCCTACGTGTTGAACCTTCTCAACCCAGGGACAGAAAACTATGACACCAGAGGAGTGACAGAGGAGCAGAACCAAGAGCCAGAGTTGTCACAAGACACAGCAGTGGACTTCTCAGCCCATTAATCAAGTCAAGCTGAATAACTTGGAGCAGGAAATTTATTTGCACAGTAAGGCACCTTCAGGCACTAAATTGGGGGAAGTGAGTTTGCTGACCCACAGAGCAAGAGCCAAGGGTCTTCAGGCTAAAGCTTATGGTAGAGCCGTGTGCCCTGTGAGCATTTATCACCAGCCCTAAAAGAGCTTTGTAACAGTGCTGGAGCAGAGCAGAGTCCAGGCCAGGGGCCAGGGACAGAGGCACAGCAGGGGAAGGGCTGTCCTGACTGGAAAAACTGTACCCTGAACACTCTGACCCTGGATTGTAACCTGCTACCATCCCTAATCATCCCAAACCTGGGAGTAGGCTGTCTCAGTTCTGTGAGGCCATTGCCATGAGTTGTAGGGCCTGGCTGGCGAGAGACTTGAGAGCTGTGAAAGGAGGCTTGGGACCACTGTTGCAGTAACCTTCATCTCAGGCAGGGTGGGTAACACCCTCAAGAATGACAGTAAAGTCATGAGCAAATAAAGACAGAAACACAAAGGACAACAAGAGAGAGAGAAAAGACCACCATCGCTACAGAATTAACAAGGAACTGGAGATCAGGTGGAGAAGATGAAGAGGTTGCAGAGGAGGGAGGTGTGGTGCTGACTCCGTCTGGGCGTGTTCAAAACCACCTCACTGCTGAGGAGGTCACACATGACCACAAGGAACCCCGGGGACTCAGATCCTGGAGAGGTAGGCCGTGGAAACGATGATGTTGACCCAAAATCTGTGAATAGAAGAAAGTGTTTGAAAGTCTCCAACCAGAGCTCCTGCAGCCCCCAGCTACAGAGACACCTGAGCATCCCAACACCTACCCCAGAGTCCCTCTCTGAGCCCTTTATCTTTCCATCCCAGGAAGTGGTTAGGGTTGGAAGACTTACCTAGGTAGGGCACAGGCTTCTCCTTCAGTGCGACCGATGGCTGATGGGCAATTTGTCCAACAGGAAACATAGAGTGTCTTCTCTAGGTGAACAAAGAGCTGGGTGGATCTGATGGACAACACATACAGAACAGATAAAAATAACACGCTGTGAAGACAGAAAAACACAGCGAGGGATAGAATCAGGGGCACTGGAGTTAAGTATCACTTGGAGACTCACCCCATTCAAAGGACAGACATGCTGTGCCCAAAGCCAAGAGCCTAAAGTAGTCAACCCTGCTCTCTCCTCACAGACCAGACACAGTCTCTCCTCCCTCTAGCCCCAGATGTACCAGAGGCTGGAAAGGAAGAGACCCAATACGGACAATGTGTGTCTCAGAACCCTGCAGTGTCTGTCAATCCCTACATCAGAACAGCCACCCGAACAATGCAGGCAGTGGGCATCCAGGACGGGGACCTGAACTCTGTCACCAGGCCCAAGTAGGTGGACGTGGTGGGCTTCCTCCATCCCAAGCCCTGCTTGTCTGCAGGAAGCCCCTGTTCTCCCTCCCAGACCAGCCCTAGCAGAGCCAGCTCACCAAATGGGTCAGTGGGGGTCCTAGGACCTGAATGACAGGAGATGGGCTACACAGGGGTCAGCCAGGAGTCACAGACCCAGAGCTGGACATGATAGCAAGCCCATTCTTCCTGTTTGGTGACCCCAGTCAAGAAGATACCCAATCTGGTCACACAGGAAGGAGATATGGTTGATGACAGATGATCCATCCTGAGACAAGTGTGGGAAACCCGAGTTGCAGCACCGAGGTTCGTGTCTGGGAAGAAATCCCCCATCACCGTGCTTATCCTCGCTGTTCCTGGAGGACTCAGTCCATGGCCCCATGGGAAGCCACCAAGGACAGAGACATCATGAGCACGGTCTATCAGAAACAGAAACACCAGGTTTCAGGGTTTGGGATGAGCAACGTAAGTGCCACTTGCAGATAACAAGACTTTCTTACAAGAAAAGCCAAAATCATCAGCTCACAGGTTTGGAAATTACATCCCCAAATTGTCTAGGTGGAATAGAAATGCTTTAAACATATGGCAGAAGACTAAGAACTCTTAACAACACTTAACAATGAAGAATGATATCTGTGAACAGAACAGAGTGTTTGAAAGTTTCCACCGAGAACAGCTGGAGCCCCCAGCTACAGGGACACCTGAGCATCCCAACACCCACCCCCGAAACAGGACCTGATTTATTATCTGGAGAAAGTGAACCAGAGAGACTTAGGACCCAAGAACTTCCAGAAAGAGGAGGGAGATGTGAGACCCAAGGTTGAAGACAAAAGGATTAATGGGCTGTCAGCAACCTGAATGTATCTGGACTCTTTCCTCTGTCCCTGCACTCAGGGTTACCTCCTAGAAGAAGACTGGAGAAGTCTTTCCCAGTGGACCTGAAACCAAAAAGGCCCGCTGAATTTCCAGCAAGATGGCGGCCTAGGCAGCCACTACACAGGCGTTCTGCACCAAAGATCTGGGAGACAAAATGAACCAGACCCAGATGATAGTCTGACACCCTGGGCTTCAGAGGAGAGGCTGGAGATGTGGAGTAAGTGGAGAAGTGGAGCAGGGGTGCCAAAGAAGGAGGCTGGCTGACTGGTGAACAGCTGTCGGCCAGCTTTGGAGAGACACACAGATGGGGTCTGACGGCTCAAATCCACACACGGTGAGGCTGCCCCCCATGGACCTCCAGCGCAGACCCTGCACTCCCAGAGTTTAGAGCCTGGCAGTTTGAGCCAGTGAGAGGCCAGGGACCACCTGGCACCACCTGGCACCTAGGTACAGGCCACTTCTGCTCCAGGTCCCAGAACCCGCAGGGTCTCCAGTTTCATCATCAGCCATCTGTGCCCCCTGCACTCTGGTTCTGACAGAACTGAAACCAGCAACCTGAAGGGCTACTTCCAGATTGGGTGCCCTAAACCCAGGCAACCCCTAGGCTTACAGGAACTCCATCTCGGGTTGGGGACTCTGACCTCACACCCCTCCTCCACTCACCTTCTGACTTCCTTGGCTGGCAGAAGCCCCCCAGAGTTTTCTATTCTCTATGTCCAACAACTACACTGGGTTTTTTGTTGTTTGTTTTCCTTTCATTTTTCATTGTTTTTGTTTGTTTATTCTTTCCTCCCCCTCCTCTCCTTCCCATCCCTTGATTCTTACCCTTTCTATCTCCACTTTTGTTTTCTCTTATTTTCTTCTGCTTCTCATTTCCACCCTCTTTCATTTAAGCTCTTGGTTTTTCTTCACAACTCTTGAGTCTCCTTCTTTTCATCTTCCCTCTCTGTTTTTTTAGTGTTTTTTTCTCTTTCTTTCATTTTCTCTTACTTTTCTCTTGTTAGCGGATTTTCCTATTCCTCTTTTCTCTTTTTAGTTATTATGTTCTTTTTTTCTTGTTCTGCCCTTTTTTTTTCTTTTTCTCCTTCACTATTCTCTGTTTTTGCTGTTGTTTGCTTGTTTGTACTGTTTTGTTTTCATGTGTGTTTTCTCCTCTTGTCCCACCTGACAAGAGACACAACCATACTCTCTGCAGCTCTACCAACTGGACTAGAGCCAACACCAGCTCCTCTACCACCTGACCAACCACCATGAGCCAAACCCACGCTAACCTAAGCTGCAGGAATAATGAACAGAAAGCGATGCACACGTTTCCATTTTCTAACAACATCCTCCAGGAGACTTACAACACACCAACATACAATCATCAGTTGAGTGCAAGTACAACAGAACCTCAGTGTCTCAAAGATTTGAATTCACATGAAGAACCAAGATAGAATGGCTCAAATAAATGAACAAGATGTGAAGCTGGAAAACTTTCCTGAGGAAGAAAAGGTAATGGAGCTATCTGAGACAGAAATCAAAGGAATGATATTTAGGCATGTTCAGTCTATTGACAGAAAGATAAAAAAAAAAAAACAAAAAAACAAAGAGAATGCAGGAAAAACTTTAGTAAAACACTACAAAAACAGAGAGACAAAATCAATGCAGATTTTGAAACAATACAAAACCTGCTAATAGAAATCCAGAAGATTAATAATAAGACCTCAGAAATGGACACTACATATACAAAACTCTGAAAGAAAAAAAATGCCAACCAAGAACCATATCCAACAAGCAGACCAGCCTGGAGTGGCTAGAAGAACAGAAGATACTTCTCGAAAGAAAGACCAACAGGAAAAATACAAAACAATATAGGCAGACTGACTGATTACTACAAGAACAATCAAGTTGCTCCCCCAGGAGACATCAGGCAAGTGGTCGGGTCCACTTAAAGGACATATGTTGGACATAAGGGGAAATGAGGGAAAAACAGCAATGAAGCTGCAAGCTAAGTCCTACAACATTCAATAGACTCCTGTGAACCTGGGTGGAGATCTGGTTGGCCAGCAGTGTAGTAAGACCCGGGGACTTTTGGCCCAGAGTCAGGACATAGCCACAGAGGACTAGAGTGGAGAGTGAAGCGTCCATCTGATAAGAAGAGAGGGCATATGCACAAGAACACCCACACTTGCAGATAATACCCACTTGACCTGGCTTCAATGACTGGATGATTAGAGCTCAACTAGAAAAAGAAAGAAGAGGAAAAAAAGAGTAATCTGATACAATTTGATGAACTTGACCTACATCTATGGATGCAGTAGCTCAAAAGAGAGAACAAATCTTTACAGTGAGGATCATTCCCACCCCTTGCACACATGGAGAGGACAGGGATGGGCAACTTTAACATTGGCTACCCAAAATGGGGGGGCTACAAAGGCAAGAAGTGACTGGCTTACAAGCTTTCAAGAGGGAGCCTAGATCCAGAGAGCATGGAGGAAGGTAGAATCTCCACTGAGTAGTATCCAATCTGTCTAGGTGGTGCTGATGAAAGGAGATGTGGCTAGTTCTCCTGTGATACAATAGTGAATAATTGTTATCAGGACTGATTGTGAGGGTTGTAAATGTAAAAGTAGACATTTCATAGCAAAGGAGGGGAGTGATTGACTTTGCAATCTAGGAGAAGAGGTCCCTTGGACCATCAAGGGAGAAGAATGGAGAGCGGGACCCTACCCAGAGAAGCAGTGATGCCTGAGATGGAGCCAGAGATGATGACATGGAGAGATGGAGCAGTTAGGGACTTTAGACACAGAGAGGGAGAAGAACTGTGTGCTGACGACCAGGGGACAGGCTTGCAGAGTATATCCTTTGGTAGGTTGATGATGCATAGAGGGAATTGTAACCATGGCAGTGAAATGATATACGATAGGATGAATGTAAAGCTAATGTTCTCCCATGTAAACTATCACATAATTCACAATAAAACATTTTTTTAATCATATCCAGCAAAGATGTCCCCCAAATACAAAGACAAAATTAGGGCATTTACAAATAAACAGAAATTTAAGGTATTTGTAATGACCAGACCAACTTTACAAAAAGTACTAAACAATGTTCTTTGGACTGAGAACCCACAACAGCAGACAACAACCTGAGATAACCATACATGACAACACCAACCAGAACTCAATCCATATATAAAGATATTTAAAGTAAAACAAACCTACAAGATTGAAGTAGGAAATCAGAGATATCAACATATAATGAAGTAAACTACAAAAAAGGGGAAACAGTGAGTACACAGAACTTTCAAGTGGTAAGGAGTCAAGTAGCTCTCTAGATAAAACAGATTATTTCTAATGGGGAGAAAATATTAAATTGCAGGGTAGCTCCAAAGGAAACACAGCTTCACATCAAAATAAAAGTAGAATATTGGAAATATTTATAAAGCAATGAATAAAATAAAAAGAAAACCCACAAACAAAATGAATTCAGTGTAGTAATTTATGTAGAACAAAGAAACTGGCAACATCACACGAAAAAAACACACAGCAAAATGACAGCAATCAATTCATACCTATCAATAATTACACTGAATGAAAATGGATTAAATGTACCAGAACCATTCCCCAACAGAGGTACCCAAGACTACAAACACACAGAGCCCTGAGGTGCAGACAGGGCAGACACAAATCTCCTAACAGGTCACCTCATGTTATGGTGGGATACCTGATCACAGCCAGCTAAAACCAAAGTGGACATCTGTCCTACAATATTTACAATAATAGGTGTGTGTTTTTTAAAGTCACTACTCGTGGTGGCGTGTCACTGTAGTCATAGAGAACTAATTCAGGGACTGGGGGTGCTCACTCCTAACAGGAAGGGGCCACATCTGCAGACTCAGAGGGTTCGTGGGATGTGGAGAGAAGTTTCCAGTCCATGTTCAGGACCCTACTTTTTTCCCACGAGAGCTCTGACATGGCCTCCCTATACCTACCTGGCAATAATGTCTCCTTCTCTGGAGGTTGGTCACTTAGACCATCTGACCTGGCCCGCGCTCTCCACTCCGCACCCCCCCCCCATTTAGGAGGGGAGGGTTTCAGATCTCCAGGGCAACACACTCACATGCAAATGCTCACTGCTGAGAATCACATACAACTTCGTTCCTTTTCCAGTGTCTCCACAGGCTTAGCAATAGCCACCCAATTCTACTGCCCAGGCAGCTATGGTCCTCCACACTTCTCAGGCCCTCAACATGCCCTTCCACCTGCATGCCACCCCGCTCACCGTGCTCAACTCACGCCTGCACAACTGCACTACCAGTTTGCAGTGTACTCTGGGGTGAGGGTTTGTGCCTGGGAAGCTTAGGAACCCGCTCTTGGGATCATTCCCATGGAAGTGGATACAGAGCAGGAGAGGATGACGGGAGAATATGAATGATAGATGGGTCAGGCTATAAGGTTTCCAGTCATTCATCTGACCTTCAGGTGGAGACGATGCCTTGTGCTGGACTAGTCTCCTAAGATTTAGCAGTTCAAACCCAACCAAGAGTACCTAGGAAGAAAGTCTGCTAATCTGATTCTGTAACGTTTACAGCCAAAGGACCAAAGCAGTTCAACTCTCTAATACATGGGACCCATGGCTTGGGATCAAGTGATAACTGTGGATTTCATTTTGGTGGGTTTTTGTTTGTTTGGGGTAATTCCTATGGGATTTTGATCATTTCTTTGGGTCCTGCTCTTTTAAATGTTAAAGAGCAAAGATGTCACTGTGAGGACTAAGATGCACCTCACCCAAGCCAGGGTATTTTCAGTCCCCTCATATGCTTGGGAAAACTAGCCAATGAATACGGAAGAAA